TCATTCTCAAACCGTCAACGACAACACCGCGTGGACTCGGTCAGGGCTCTTTGCCCTCTATTTGTAGATCTCTGTTCCCTCTAACCTATCATTGAGAACAACCAGCAATAGAGACTTGAGATCGTTCATGCGTGTACCTGTTGCAATATGAGTAAGAAAAGAAAGTTTCTTCGTAGAGCAGTTGTCTACACAGAAGGGAGATTTCGAGATGTTCAACACAGAACGCAACAACACAACTGCTAGCACATATCGACCTTGCTTGAGACCGTGATTCACATCTTCTCGTCCTTTTCGAAATCAGACTTTGAATAGTCGTCCCTTTCAAACTGCACAATTGATGTGTGATTTGGTTCCGATTCAACCATTGTACGAGTTTGAACTTGGACATGAACTCTGGTGGCCTCGACATCATCTTGCGACCCGACGCCACTCATGGATTTCGTCAAATGACCGTTCGTTCCATTGCCACCAGTCAAAACGGAGCGACCTCGCTGAGACAATTGGTGGTTGCCAGTCATAGAATTTGTAGTCGTTGCATCCTTTTGTGAGCCCCACAAGACTTGAGCCAAACCTAGAGCGCAGACTAGGCTCCCAAACAAACCCTCGCCGTACAATGACAGCATCGTGATGACTTGAAGGCCACTGACCGTCTTGAGCGCCATGTGGGGGAACGCAAACGTGAGCAATGATGCAAAGACGTAGGCGACTGTGGAAGACCGAGTCAGTAACGCTTGCTTGATGTTCATTCAACTCGGTTTGCACTCACTGCCAGTCATTGTGACGAGAACGGCTGTCATGACTGTAAATTTCCAGGCTGTTCTCAATCGACGTTGCTCAGATTGTTGACCTTCCATGTTGGCAACTCTGTTCATTGACCGTTTCAGGTATCTGAAGTAGGTGGTGGCGATCATTACAAAGAACTGCATGGGTAGTGACAACGTCAGCGGAGGCTCACATTGCGAGATCGTCGGCGGTAACAACTCACGCCCCACGTGTAAATGATGACGAGACACCACAAGCCCCATGCGATGCGGAAAGATGGTAGAAACGAGTCGAGGTGATCAAGCATGATTTGTAATGGAACGGCCAGTTGTGCCAACGACAAGTCGACCTCCTGAGGTGACATACTGCCGTACAATGGTGCATTACGCATCGCACCACTTCTGAACAAGGCCATGTTCTGCATAGCGACGTCGTGACGTGTCGAAGCGAAATAAGTCGGAATCGAAATAGCAATGATGCCGAATATTGCGAGACCAATGAAGTGGACGTTGAGGAATGTTGGCGTCGTCCAGAACGGTTGGCGCTGACGATGACCGACTTTGGGCAATGCGACAGCGACCGTCAGCGACCAGAGCTGTGGAACAACAGAAATCAGCCGTGAAGGCCAGACGATGAGACTGAGTGAAGATGAGCTCACAGCAAACCAGGTTGCGAGCCATGCGGGAATGTATGCAAGAGTGCGACCGGCCAGATACGCGGGCCATTCTTTGCCATTTGTTCGATCAATAGTCATGGCAACGTATGGCTTCAACGAGGCATAGTCAGCTATCAATGTTCAGCACGATTCAGCACGTTCATGTAGCTGACCTGCATCACTACAAGCGAGACGAGCATCGCCGATTGCCACCTGCGCGATGCAGTGTCAGACGCTTGCCGAGAATGGTACTGATTGAATGCGACTCACGCGATGGCAAAATGAGGAACGATGTAATTGCCGCGCGAAGTTTCTCGCCTACGAAACATCCAAATGTCTGCTTTGTTGCGCCATGCACGAATGCCGAGGGACAAGAGAACCATAACGGTTTGTCTGTTGTGACTCGTCAGCCCGTAAGCGCAAGCGATCGCGTTCAGTGTGTCGAGACTCACAGTCCGTAGATGCCATGCAATGCTCTCAGTGCGATCACGAACGAGTCTGGCATCGGCAGATACACTCTCGAGTGGATCGTCGCCGCCACGGCGAGGAAAGGATTGGCCGATGGCGCCTTTGCTCTCACAAGTGCAATGATTTGCTCGGCAGACATCGCTTGGTGGTGAAGGTAGAGAGGCAAACAAGTGATGCCGCATGTCGATGGATTTCTTGCTCTGGAATCTGTCGTGTCAACATCGCATCACGCGCTTTGACCGTCAATTTTGACGACAGCGAGACGGAGGCGCGGCATGGCGTATGGGCAAGTTTAGATTTCTCAATTAAGCCCGTCGAGGTGCCATGCTAGCTGAGCAAATTTCTGGCTGTGTTGTGCCAGCCCAAGATCACCCATGGTGAGACGAATTAGGTCCTCGAGTGCCGAGATTTTGGGTCCGTGCGATCAAAGGCATGCGAGCGGGAGCGTCGTCCGGGACCGGCATCGTCGTTGACCCGGGACGTCTGCGCTCTGACTCTTTTGATGACTCTTGATGGTCTCACCGCAATCACTCGATCTTGTCTCGGTCTGATGATTGCCTGACGCAGCAGATTGACTGCGATCTTGACTTGACGCGACACTGGATCATGCGCCGACGATGTCTGCTCCCGGTTGCATTCTCCGCAACGTGATACTCATGCGAGTCCGTCTGTGGAGCGTGTAGACTTGGCCTCCATCACCATCGTGAATGACGTCTTGCGAGCGGTACGCAATACCGTGCGTCCACTGCCAACGACATTCGCCTGATAGCACGTACACGTCACCAGGTCTGAGCAGCAACGAATGGTGGACTTTGTCGCGTTGAAAGTTCATGACGGTCGATCCGCACAATGAAATGCCCACGATGCCATCTTTGTAGCGCGTGGGTAAGTCGCAGTGTGGCGTGATGCCTTGGCCTTGTCTGTACAGGTTGAAAATGACTTGGCGTGGCGTAGACGAGTCAAAGATGACCTGCTTGACGTGGTTTGGCACGGTGTTTAGCAACGTCGGCAGCAAGTCGAGTAGTGGCGTCAGAAACTTGGGTAGCGTGGCTTGGCCTGGAGACTCGAACATCATGACTTGGTCCGAGTTGCTTGGCCACAGTGTTTGCGACATGTTTTCGGCCAGTTGGTGTTGCATTTGAATCGGTATGGCGTATGGCAAAACGTACAGGCCTGGAATTGGCGGAGCGCGAGCTGTGGCCGGAGCCGCCCAGTGCACTTTGTCGTCGCTGTCGTCTAGCTCGTCAAAGAGACTGTCTTGAGGTGATGATGGTCTGTTTGTCGACGTGTGGTGGTAGGGTCAGCTTGGCTTGAGAGCAATCTCGCCGGCGTCAAGCGAGCTGACTGACGCAGACATGACATCGTCGTCTCGAGTCATCACGCTGTCTTGTTGTGTCCCTGCAACGGCAAGGGCCGCGGCGGTCGATGCACGTGGTTGCGGGCAAACACTCGAACGCGTTCTTTCACTCAACTTGAATGTTTCAGCTGACGATCGAGCAAGCCGCCGAGGCATTGCTGAGCATCAGGGCGACATTGCTCGAACATGGCAAGGCCCTGGCAGCGCTTGAACGTCTCGTAGCCCACGTCGCAAGTGAGCAAGGGCGGCGACTCGACGCGTTTGTCGCTTCTCAGAATGACATCTCCTGCAATTGTGAGTCCAGTGGGTTTGTGCAGAATTCAGGCTCTGACTTGTGGCAAAATAGTGACAGCAGTGCTGCTCGAGTCACTCGGACGGACGATCGCCATGCAGGACCACTCGAAGCAGCCTGTCGCAGGTCAGTCGGTACTAATCGACAACGGCAACAGGGTCTGACCAGCTGTTCGACAGATCCGGACCTGCTCAGAACCAATTTGACCAAGAGTCTGAATCTCTTGCAAGGACTCGTACTGCTGCACAAGCCCAGTCGGCAGCTGTTTGCTCGCAAATCGTCGCTAGAGGTGCGCTCGGACGCGGAACCGCGCACATCGGTCAACATTATGCTGAAACTTGCAAACAGTATCTGTTAGCCGTGCTGGACCTGTCAAGACCGTCACATTCGTCTTCACCGTTGCTGGCGTCCGCACCGTCTAGCTCGCCCGTCTTGATGCCTCCGCCACCAACTCCTTTAACGCCTCGTCGTCGGACAAAGGATCCGGCATCGTCGCCAGCCGCAGTGTCCGTCGCCGCGTTAGATTGCCTGCTCGCCGTGCTCGTCGACAGTCCCAAGAATGTGCGGACGTTTGAACAAATCGATGGACTGGCGACGATCGTCAAGGTATTGAAAGACAAGACGGTTGCCCAGAGTGTCAGGTGGGTTTTGAGCGGGCGCGATGTGATGCGGATGGCTGACGTCTTGATGCAGAATCAAAGTGATTGAAGTCTTGTACTTTTATCTGTTGCCAGAAGCGGACGACCTACCGTCAATGGCGGCATTGAGCGACTTTGTGCCTCAGACACCGGTCAAGTCGAGGCACAGATCGACAGTCGACAAGCGTGAGCTGCTGGCCAGGGTCATGCCAAACGTTGGTGCATTGGAGGAGAGATTTCGGGCCATGGGCCTCAGTCGCTGACAAGTCAGTCGCCGAGTATGCACCAGCGTCCAACAGCACAAGCTTCGTAAAGTCTGGGGCTACAGGTAGCTTTCAGTGAATCGTCGCGCTCGCGGCGCTCGTGCATTACGGATTGCTGCAGGCGGCCGATAAAAAGGACACGAACATTGCTTCATTGATCAGTATGTTTCGTGAAGCATACACGCTTTTTGAAGTAGTATAAATACTTGGCGCGCGCAACCAGTCGTGTTTCGGAGGGTTCGGCCCTCTGGACATGCGCCACTTGGCTGTTGTTTCAACATGTCAATATCTTTGCTGTGGCTGTTTCTTTCTGACTACTCATTACGTATCACTGCAATGCCTAGACAAGCAACTGAACGACTAGAAGATGTGTACGCGGAGATCATAGTCGATCTCTTGTGCTGTTCTCCACAGCTCGTTGGAAGGCTGAATGACCTGGAAAAACATTTGGTGTGATGAGAAGGGTTAGAATATGAGCTGGAGCAAAGCTATGGCGATTTTTGAGCGTATTTGGGTGCATAATTGACCTTTATATACTGTTGTCTCACCTCTGTTTACATCAACCCCTCCGATAGTGTAGTGGTCATCACTCCTGGTTTTGAAGTCGCATTCGAATTCCAGGCAACCCCGGTTCGAACCCGGGTCAGAGGTTGATATCTTTTTTTGGATCCTTGTGGCCGTGGCCTGGCCCTTTCCTGTCTGACCCTCGACATTTGCGGCCTGCCGTACCTTTTTTTTTTTTTTGTAGCTAACGATATGCGAATCCATGCGAGTGAAAGCGACCGGTTCAGCGGTCAACCCGACGGCGTTTGGGTGCATCGAAGGCAGCAGCCCAGCCTGATCAACCGCGCTGGACGCTCGAACGGTCACGCGCACCTGGGATTGATCGACATTAGCTTTATATCAAATGAATTCAAAAGAAATGGGGGTTTTGACTTGTTTTTACGACGCATCTGCAGAAGGCTCATCACATGCATGAGACACTGCGTTCGCATCGAATAACTCAGCTAATGCCTGCCGCTCACCATGAAAGCGGTGAATAAGTGCATCGTTGACAGACCACATCAGCAGGCAATTACCAGGTATCATGATGCCGTATGCTAGACTTCTACTCTGGTGAAGTTCTGGATCTCAGTAGCACACTTCTGAAAATTTCAGTTTAAATACTATGGTTTTGAAAGAGAATAAACACCGTGAAAGGTAATTAAAAGAAAAAAGCTGGCCTCTCGCCTTGGTCGGCATTCCGAATAAAACGTACGTTCCAAACATCTTCCCAGTGCCGGTCACTGGGAACATATCTTTCATCTGGTGAACCGGCAAACGGGTCAGCAAGGAAAGTACGGATGCTGCTGGCGGCACTGACCTGCTCCTTGGTAGGCAGCTCCGCATTGTGCAGCGCGAGGTAAAATCTTTTGGCGGCCACGCTGACGCCCGAAGCGATCAACGCCAACCACATGGGGGCGTGTCTATGGATTCTGTGAGAAAGTCAGTAGTCGATGCTTCGATGACTTACGGAGCATGGGGTGCGACATCCAAACCACGTAAGTGACTGCGCTCGCGGCGAGGACGTTGTTGAACTGCTCTGAGACGTCCTCGTCGCTGACACTAGTGAGCCAATTGCTCTCAATTGGAAGGAAATAGAGGGGTTTTTTTAGGCTGAAATTGAGTGGGCTAGGATCGAAGGAGTGACGTGTATGACTCAGAAGGACTATGAGATTTATCCGGGAAGCGTAGTGTGGTCAGAACTTGTGGTTTCATGGGAATACTGGATCAGCAGCAACATTTCGTGGGATCGAGTTTTCGAATGAATTAGTGGCAAAGCAAGATTCCGGGCTCTGACAACAGTCGTCCGATCATGACTTTTTGTGAGTCCTTGTTCAAAGAGATTCAAAGAGGATGTGCGTTTGCTTTTTGTGTAGAGACCATACGGAAGCCATACAGACCAGCACATCTGTAACCTGATCTCTCAGCCACTCGTTGCATCGACGCTTGTTCATTCGTTCAATTGGTTTGTCAACCTTGAGTTCACCATCAGCCAGTATCGATCCTGTTACTGTGTTGCAAATCCAATCGCTCGCGTGAACCGAGCAATATTACAAAGGTTAGACTTTGTCCAAGAAACTACCAAGAACCACATCTACCTCCCACAGTAGCTGGTATACGCGCGTGATTGAAGACGGTTTTTCTCATTCCACTTCAACCAGCACAAGCTGTGCGATCACAAATTAGTTTGATGTCATGAAGATTCCTTTGAGTAGAAGACCAGCTTCATCAACATAAGCTTCGCGGGTACTTTTTTTATTTTTTATCTACGAGTTGCTTCATTGCATTGCCACTATCTAGACAAGCAACTAATCAACCGGAAGAAAGGATGAAACCCAAAGCTTTACAAAAATTGACTAGCTGAAACTACGAAAATCTTTGAAAAAGAGAACTTTGACAAACTCCCCGGACACACGTCCGCGGATTTTTTTTTGACGTGTTCTACCCTCTTAGGCCACATCTCACAATTGTGCATCCAGATTTAGGCAATCGGTTGGATCGTATAGTGGTCAGTACAGTCGGTTCTGATTTGGCGTTATGCCGAACGGATTCCGACTAACCTGGGTTCGAACCCCAGTCCGACCTTTTTGTTTTTTCGCCGCCCTCGTGTTGTGCTCAGGATTCCCGACCAGCACAATCAGCAGAGCAATCTATGCTGGCATGCTATCGTCCTCTACGGATCGTCTTCCTTTTTGACCATCAGCCTGGTGGGAACTGTATCTTTATTTGTGCAAGCTCGCGTGGAATCGGCGCTTCCACCGTCTCCGTTTGGAAGAGCCGGTCACGGACGATGTATTAGCTCAAGTCGCACAATCAATTGGCAAGGATTATCGCAAGAGTCGCCTGTGAGCAACTGTTGTGGTGATCGTGTTGGTCAACACCTCAAATCTCGGCAACTTCTAGTTCAAGACAAGTCATCAATCTCTTTCTCATCAAATTTTTCAGGGTTTTAGTGGGTAGGCAGTCGAGTTTGCATTGAGCTCGGTTGGAGTCCCACAGTTGTTGGTTCATGACTACATTACGGTGATGGATCTTCCTGCGTCACTGCATTTTTGCCCAGTTTCAAGTCTGTTCGCTCTGTTTAATGTAGTTGCTTTAATGTGGCTGCTGTAATTCAGGGATTAGATACAAAAAAAAATTCGTCGCGATGCGCGTTGCAGACTGAACCTGATTACGTGAGGGCATCCGTCTGTTGTCTGTGCGACTTCGCTCCAAGGCGCTGCTACGGCACTGAATCCAGCACATTGTCCGAGCACTTCTATTATACCATTCATACATCCCAAGAGGTCAGCAGGGGGGGTTTGCTCACGGCTATGGGTGCTAGCAAGTCGCATCGCGTTGAGCCAGCTGCAGGCTTTTTCTATCTACGAGTTGTTTCATTGCATTGCCACTATCGAGACAAGCAACTAATCAACCAGAAGAAATGGGAAAATATGCTCTACGCACGAAGATCGCCGTGAACCACCAGTGTGGGACTAGCAGTCAGAAGAAACTATTTCGATTTTGATTCGAATAAAATGTAGACAGCAACACCGTCTGAGTAGGTATTGTCTCCGGCATAGCCCTACGCCACGGTCTGTCGAACTGTGATGTCAGTGACGTTGACTCCAGGCTTTAGGACAAAACCTAGGAAAAGCGAACGTTCACAACCGCACTTCGCACACAAGCCGCGGCCAAGAGAGCGACTCGGCGGACACCACACGTCGGAACAGATCCTCAACCTCGCCAAAACCGTTCCGTTGGACAAGTAGGTCCTCGCGCATGGTGGACTGCTTTGCAAGCTCGGCCTTGCGGGCAACATAATTTTAGGGTCAAGTTTGGCCGATGTGATGTGATTTACACAACGCAACCCTGGTGGCCAGAGAAGAGCATAGAGAAAATTATGTCTATCTCACAAGGGCACCACGGTATCCTTCATGGCCCCAGCTTGGAGGTTGCGGCAGTGCCTGGAGTTCTCCAATATCAATTTGAAAAGCCTGAATAAAATTAAAATCAAATCAAAAAAAACTAAAAGAAATGACTTTTTTATTTAAGTTTTCAAAATCTTGCTCATAAAATTTGATCTGTCATAACATTTTATTAAAATGTAGCAAGCAGCTGCAGACGCTGCAGACAAGTGTGAACATCTGCTCGCACTGCTCGAGAGTCGCCCAAGAAGAATGTCAATGAGCTTTGAGTCTATTGAGCTGGGACGCCGCACATGTTGCTAGCTTTGGCTCAGCTGCGCGGCCAATGTCTGGCATTGAGCGCTAGTTGCACAGAAAGGACGGCACAATCACAGAATCCATCTCAAACGAAGAGTATTGTGGCAATTACTGGCGCGTGAGCATTGTTACTTGCGCTATCGCAGGCTCTAGCTGATCAATTTTGCCAGTCTGACCGACATACATTCGAGCTTGTTGTGGCGGGCATGGCTCAAGATTTTCTTGGCCAGCTGGCGTCAACTGCCATTACAGAACAATTTTTCTCTGCCGCTGGTGGAATTTGTGTACCTTCTTGTGGTTGTCTACTCGAAATAAGTATGGCAGACCTGGTTTCCATGCAGCAGTGGGTCGGTTGAGGTTTGACTGTGTCAGTCAAGTCAGAGTGGCATGCTGCAATGAAAAGCTCACGGACTACACCTCAGAAGCGTCAAATGATAGCTGAGATGGTGGAACTGCTGTCAGCGATGTAATGATACAGCCTTTCAGGACACTTTAGGTTTCCTAGATAGAATAAAGTCCCTAAAGATAAAATAAAATAATATTTTCATAGAAAAGTCAGATTTTTTTTTTTGTAGCATTAACACCAATTAATACCATTTTATAGGCTCTAATTCAGGGCGACGATTATTTCGTCTTGTCCTGCAGCCTGACATGGCCACAAGCGCTGCCAGCTGCACGTCTCTGCGCTTCGAATGACACAAGTCACGCTGACTCTCGCTCGATGTGTCATACACACAACAATGCTGTCGCAGGTAGCTCCTTGAATAGCGGCAATTCTTCAAATGCTGTCTTCGTTACAGAGAAAAAGAAGCCATTTACAAAGTTTGTGAGTGTGTTTTGGTTTTCGACGTCCAGCTCGGCGTTTTAGTTGCTGACGACAATTGACGCTGCACCGGACCCTGATCAGTTGCTCAAAGTCTTTGAAGACTGCCAGAATGAAAGTGATTGGGAGAAGCACGGAGACGGTCGCCGTCTCAAGTCAGAGGCGGTTGACCGTGTAATGAAAGCCCACAAGATCTTTCCCAATCGCAGGTCATTTCATGTGAGCTCTATCATACCAGCCCCGATTGGTATCCTTGTCTATGAGATGACGGTAGACTGCGTCTCGCATTGACACATATGTCCTCAGAATCAAGTGCAGAAGTCTAGGGACAAGAACCCCGAGATGTGGCCTGTCTGGACCTACAAGCGCGTCGACCAGTTGAATAAGCAGCAAATACAGGAATTGGACCGCCTCCTCCAAAGCCCAGAACTAGTCAGCATCGGCCAGCAAACAAGCGACATTCAAGTAGACAGGCGCGCAGTTTTTCGTAGAGTTTTTCCCAGGGTGGTCGTCGGTCAGACTCAGTTTAGCCGGCCAAATAAACCTCAAGTGAGCGCAACGGAAGCTATGGCCGATGTCACGCCAGTACCTCCGGCCGCACTGTGCATCTCAGACAACACTGAACGTGCGACAACCACTTTCACTCAACAGTCGCCATTTTCGGCACCATGCAGGCCATCACGACGTCACTCAGAGGGTTTATGGAACATTAATGATTCATTCAAAGTTTCGTTTGCGTTGATAGTGCCATTGGCGTGCTCGATCCAGTCCAAATCACGCCAAGTCCAATCGATCATTCAACACGAACGCCGACCCAGCAGTGGATTGGGATGGGTATGCGTAGCCCCGCCACACAATTGTCGATGTTTCTGAATTTTGTTTGTTCCACATTCGGACAAAATGACGGAGGGATAGAAGCACGGCCTGTCAGAGGTTCGAGAGCCGAAACGTTGTTCACTCGACTTTGATGTCGCTCGCCATGTTGCTCGTAAGATGCGCCAACCTGGTTGGAGCACAGGGGCCGCTTTATACAGCCATGATCAACATGAGCAAGGATTTTGGGGGCTCGGCTCAGACAACAGAGCAATACACACTGGACGGTCACGTGATTATTGTAGCTTCGGCGAGATTGGACTTGTCAGCGCTCAAGCGCGGATGCTTTCGACTGTAGTAACCACTTAGTTCGGTCGGGCCGTGAACGTGAGATGGCTCTCATGTGCTCTCATGCGCGACAACAGGCAGGACGAACGTTCTCTGGATCGCTCGACCTCGACGCGAGGTATTGTGTGTCCAATATGCCAGACGACTTGGTCCAAATTCACCCGTCAAGATCCTCGTCGGCCCGGGATGGTCTTTTCGACAAACTGTGCTGACTTGTCGGGCTCTTGGAGTCAAGCTACTCCGTGGAAACTGCACAAAAGCGCTCTATCATTGCAGCCATCATGCCTCAATGGTCATGCCCGTGTCCGTCTCGCTCCTGTCTCTGCTCTGGCGGCACCGTGATCTGCAAAGGTACGAGGTCAGCGGTGTCGACGAAACTGTCACTCGGCGACTGACCCTGTCGTCAATCCTCAACAATGCCGTGCACGCTTCAAGGGCCGACTTGAAAGACTTGACTTTCGACACCAAAGGCTCCAACACACCGGCGCGAACATTGTCTCTCAGTTCACCCTTCATCAGGTCGAGACCGTAGAACCGGAGGGCACGTTTGGGGTCACCCGTTGGAGCAGACTGGGCGGCGTTGTGGTACGCTCTCAGCTTGGCAACGAGTTCTGTCGAGTCTTTGCCTGCGTTGACGGCCAACGTCTTTGGAATGACGAGCATTGCGCTCGAAAACTCTGCAATCGCGAGCTGCTCTCTGGACCCCAGTGTTGTAGCAAAGTTTTCGAGGTAGATGCTCAAGGCCGTCTCGACGGCACCACCACCTGGTACGACGCTGCCGCTCTCCAAAGTTCTCTTGATGACACACAACGAGTCATGCAGCGCACGTTCCATCTCGTCGAGCAAAAAGTCGTTGGCGCCTCTCAAAATGACCGAACTTGAACTGACGACCTTTGTGCCTTTGACCAAAATGAGTTCGTCGTCACTGATGCGTTCTTGCACGACTTCCTCTGCCGAACCAAGATACGACGATTCAAATGTTTCTTCACCCTCCAAGTTTGCCAAACTGCTAACCAGAGTTGCACCCGTGGCCTTGGCAATGCGTCTTAAATCTTCCTTTTTGCACCGTCTGACGGCCATGGCTCCCGCCTCGACAAACTCTTTCAGACACAAGTCGTCGATACCTTTTGTCGTCAGAATGACATTGGCACCGGCGGCTAAAATCTTTTTGACTCGTTCGATCGTGATATCGGCTTCACGTTTGCGAATCGCTTCCAATTGTTCTGGATCGTCAATCGTAATGTGAACGCCGAGGTGCATCCGAGTCTTTTGCAAGTTCATGTCGAGGCAGGCAATCTTGGCGTTGGTCACTCGCGTCTTCATTGCTGCAAATACAACAGGGTCAGTTCGCGCGAACCGTGCCACAGACGCATGAACGGACCTTGCGATGCCACAGT